TATACTGTTCTAATCTCTACATAAGTGCTGAATCAAACCGGCACAGGTGGTTCGCGATTCAAATCCATGAAACAATCAGTATAGAATGTATATAGTACAATCCCAAGTCTCTCCATAAGTAACTATTGGAAGAATCAGTGGCACTCTTGACTCCATCACTCTAGTCATAAAATCTGCACCCCAACAAGCCACAAGGTACATCCGAAAATGATGTTTCTCCATGCAACGAAGGTGAATATCGAATAGGTTAGGAATTGGCCAGTGCGGTACTGGATTCCTGTCAATCCCGTCCATATCTGCAAAAGCACAATTTCCCCCTTCCACCTCTCTCTACATGCAGATGAATGACCTCTGCCAGCCTCTATACACTCTCAAGACTACACTCCATCATCACTCACTTGCTATTCCATGAGGGTTAATCCACACTCAAGGAAAGAGCAAGATCGCTCTGATACCATTGTAACACTAGGGTTTAGAGAGAAGTTCACTCGAAGATAGAAACGTAAACTCTGAAGATGAGAGATCCAACAATGGTTCTCCTCTCCCTTATATAGCTCTCACCAACAAGTACAAGGTGATATGATCTAATTCCCACCATCCATCCCACTCCTAGTGGATGGATGACGTGGCGGATAACCCTAACAAGGCGTGGCGCACCCAACTAACACACTAACTAACACACTCAATCCTTACCTACGAGCACACAGATTGTTGACGTGGCACTGTCAACTAACACATCCACTCTGTACCTACCAAGTGCGCAGATCGCTGACGTGGCAGCTATGACTAGTGCACACTAAAGTATCTACATCAATATTTAGAGTAACCTCTACTTTAGTTCTAACTAACTAAAGATGGTTACAGGTGAAAACCTACAAAGAAAATAGAGCGATTTGAGTGTTAGAGGAATGAATAATGAGGATAAATATTAATTTATCACATTTTCATATTTATGATTATATTGCAAGAATGTTCATGAAATCTTATCTTATGGATAAGGCTCTCTCTCACATAGTTACAACATGAAAGAAAATGCTTTCAATACAAGGTGCTAGCATTTCGTGGAGTGAAATGCAGGAAGTGCTTCTGCAAAAATTTTAAGCGGTATATTCTCTTGAAACTTTAAAATGAAGTTGTGGGATTTGAAGCAAACATTTATGAATACATTGAAGTATTTTGTGATCTTCAAGTATTTATCATTGATATGAGTGGAACATCAACCTTGAAAATGTTCAAACGAGGCATGAAGAAACGAATTCAAAAAAGTTGATGGTAGGCAATTCATCCACAGTGAACGAAGTAATCGCAATTGCTCAACAAATATTGGATGCTTACAATGTCACACACGATGAACTATCAAGCAATTTTTGATATCCATATGGTTCTACACCGATGAAGTTGGAAAATCTTCAACGTAGAGAAGGTTTTGCACTAGCAACTATATCATTTTCAAGATTTAAAGGTGAGGTCGACGACAAAGATATCCAAATTTGCAAGAAGTTTATGAAAATAATAGAATGGTTTGAGGAGTAGCATGAGTTTGTGACAATCGTCAAGGCTATACATGTGCATAAATGGATCACATTACCAAATTTTGCCAAATTTGACCGGCATCACAAGGAGTACAATTATACAATGGAAGATGTAGAGTATGAAGAGGTTGAGGAAGAAATTCTAGGCAATAAAAATCACCAGTTTATTTACCTTACTAATTCTACAAAGCAAAAAAAATGCAAAGTTAGAAGAAATCAATGGTTGGAAGCTTATAGAATGAGTAAGAAGCAAATTCAACTCATTGTCATAGATGGTTTGATGGAAGGACAAAGCAAAGAAAAGTCAAAGTTAGAAGAAATCAATGGTTGGAAACTTATAGGAGTAAGAAGCAAATTCAACTCATTGTCATAGATGATTTGATGGAAGTACAAAGCAAAAAAAAGGCAAAGTTAGAAGAAATCAATGGTTGGAAGCTTATAGAAGGAGTAAGAAGCAAATTCAACTCAATGTCATAGATGGTTTGATGGAAGGACACAAAATGAGAGTTCTGATTGATCTTGGAGCAACAAATCACATTTTTCAACGACCATTGCTATGAAATTAGATTTGATGTTGATGAAAGATGTGAATGAATAAGTTGAATTGTCAAACGAGAAAACTAAAGTGAGAGAATCACTACCATGGAGTGTAGAATAACTCATAGGTAGATAAAAGGAGAGCATCGAATGAAGAGTAATTCGCTTAGCTTGATATGATGTCATACTTGGAATGTCATACTTTGAGCAATATAATTTGGATGTACATTGGAGAAGAAAAGTGATAACAAGTAGTTGTTGAAACATCTATGGAGAGAAACTTAGATCTTAGAAAAAAAATTTGACCCTCTTTGTGATGGGTAAAGTATACATTTCTAGAGATAATATATGTTTCCTTAGATTTATAAGAGATATTGGATCCACAGATGAACTTTACATCCCAAAATTCTTGAATATCATTTTTATGGAGTGTAAAGATGTATTTCCACATAATCTACCTACAGGATTATCACTAAAGAGTTAAGTAGATCACAAGATTGAGTTGATACTTAGAAGTACATTAATTTGCAAAGCTCTATATCATCTGACTCTAAACAAATTGGAAGAATGCAAAGCTCAAGTGGAGTAGATGTTGAGCAATGATTCATTCAACCAAATGTTTCACCTTATATAGTTCTAGTGTTTTTTGTGAAGAAGTATGGATCCATGAGACCATACGTCGACTACGGGGGGTTAAATTAGCAAACGAATTTGTGTAGCAAATTCGAAAAGAACTACATCAGGCCAAGGAGAAGTTGTTGATAGTTGAAAATTGGCAAAAACAACATGCATATGCTAATCGTAGAAAATTGGCTTTTGTATTATGAGATCATGTTTGGTTGATTTGTCACTTGTAAGAACATCAAAGTTGAACTTTAGGTTCATTGGTCTATTTTTTATTTTGAAGCATGATGGTGAAATGTCATACAAATTGGAATTTCTGTCACATATGAAAATACATCTAATATTTCATATGTCACGATTGCAAAAACATATAACACGACCAAAACAATCCACCAATCAACCATCATCACCTCCTATTCCAATCTTGATTGCAAATCATGAAGACTTTGAGGTAAAAAAGATACTCAAGAAACGTATCGAGGTCATGAATATCCCCAGGTAGAATATTTGATTCAATGAAAATTTTATCTATCATATGAATTAAATTATAAACCAGCTAAAAATTTAGCAAATGCAACTTTGATAGTTTTGTAATTCGAATGTATGTGTAACAAACACGTTACAAATTAAAAAATGGAATTTTGTAACCATCTTTAGTTACTTAGAACTAAAATAGAGGGAACTCATGATTGAGTAAAATACATGATAGTAAAATATCTACAATATCACGTCGGTTCGATCACGCACCGAATGTGTCTTTTGTCGGTCACGCATTTGCTAGTTAGTGTGTTAGTCAAGAACGACATATCATCAATCCGTGTTTTCATTAGGTAAATTTCATGGGTAGATATTTAGATTACATTTTCATCTTCAAATTAGTTTATCTTCAAATTATAACGTTACATTTAAAAATTTGAACATTTAGATTTATCTGAACTTTATTATACTAATAAAAAATAAATCTATAATATTAAAAAAATTAAATCTGAAGATAATAAAAATTTACATATAAGTACTACACAAGTAATCCACATACTTTGATCTTTTAAGTTCTATATATATCTTATTTGAATATTTATGAATGAGCGAATTAGGATGTTTTTTCTAAACTTAATCATAACAATCCATAATTTGATTGTTATGATTATAGTAAAAATCATTCAAACGAAATTTAAATTTACTTTCCATGGATTCTTTTCTATTAATTATCTATAAATCTAGTAAAAATATTGAATATACTAATTAATGTCATCTTGTAAACAAATAATGAATAATGTATGCATATGATAGATAAAAATTGAATGTTAGTAGATAAATTATGATTGACATATAAACAAATGAATCATATATCTGTTAGATAAAGCAAAGATTAAAATGATCCATTCAGGTGTTATTTTTTGAACTAACACATGAATGAATTGTACATAATCAAACAATCCATGCACTTGTTAATTAAAAGTATGAATTCCTATATTTGAGGATATTTCAACACTTTGTGTATATGTTTAGTTTATTTTTCATGTCATTATTACACTAAGAGCGAAATGTACATTGCATGTAATATATTATTTCATTATACATATTAAAATGTTCTATATAACTAAATTAAGACATTTTAATTCTTTTTAATCTTTAAATACATGTGTTATCTTAAAATTAGAATCTATTTTACTCCCCAATGTTACAATTTATAAGAGATTGAATTATTTTAATATAGTTTTGATATTATTGCAATTCAATTTGAATATAAAATTCATTTACGATTTATTTTGTGAATTCATGTATGAAATTTTTTAATATGAATGTAAAATTTGATGTTGAATATATATTTCATCAATTAATTTTTTATATGTTTTTTAAATCATAAAAAAATAAATTTTTATTTTTAAATGTAAATTGTTCTAATATGTTGAAATAAATTCAAGTAAATAATAAAAAAATTTACATATGTCAATAATGATTTCAAGTAACATTTTACTTGGATTAAATAATTTTAAAATATAATAAATGATGAATGTCACATTAACTAGCAAAATATTGCAAATTTATTAGATTGTGTGAAATTTTATTTCTTGCATCTTAAAAACATTAGTGATATCAAAATTATTGTGTCAAATTTTTTTTCATTTTCAACTGATAATATTTATCTAATGATGATATCATTAGATAAATAATTTGGTTTTGGTGGGGAAATTATTTAAACAAGCATATCAAAATATAGAGAAGAGTTAATGAACACAGTTGTAAAAATCTGAGAGTTATGAGCCCAGTTTGACAAGCTGTTGGATCAAAGCATGCGAGAAAGAGCGAAGGCTCGATCAAATAAAAATTCCCGGAGGTATTGCGCGTCTATCGCTTGTGCTGGATGGATAGACGAACTGGCAGCCACGTGGAACTGCTCGACAGATTCATTCGAATTGCGATGGAATTCGAATGAAGCGGAATGGAGGACGCCAGAAGCCTGTGAGTCTTTGAGAGGTGCAATCGGTAGGTGGAAATGTGGATGCCCAAGCTGTGGCTGAAGCGACCTTCGGCCCAGGAGGAGAAATCGTTCCTGTCCAGCTGCCAGTGAGTTTCTTCTGTTCCGATTCCCGTACTGTTCTGCTCAAATGGATTCTTTCCTTCTCTTTCATTCTTTCTGAATTTGGCGTAGATTGTCAGCTGCTAAGGCTTCTGAATGGAATTGCCTCATACCGAAGGGTGGCGATGGCGATCATGTCGATATCTGCTTGTTCCTTGAAGCCAGAGAGGTTTTGCACTCGGGTGTGAATGACTGGTTCTGCCACAAATCTTCTGGAAAGGACAATCAGACGTGGAAAATCAAGACGGGATATGCCACGGCCTAGAGTCGTGAATTTTAAGCTGAATTAAATTGTGCACGTCCTGCGTCCTGGCCGATAAGGAAGCAAGCTCATGATTTTGAACATCTTCGTCGACTGCATTGATCAGATAGACAGATTTTGGTCGATTTCGCAAGAGTTGACCCTCATTCGAAAGTCGAGCTCGTGCCCTTCATCTGACTCATCTGCATACGGCAGATTAAGTCGAAAACGAGGTTCTGCACTGCACGCGAAGTGACTTAGAAACTAAATTTACTCACGTTTGCGAAAACAGACGAGCCTCTGGATCATCTACTTTTCCTAGAATAACTTTTCCTTTTAGTGATCTTGTAACTCTTGCAGAGGCCGGATCAAGAACTAACCTCACAGTTGGCAAGAGGTTTCTTATCGTAACTTTCTTACTGTCTACCATCGAGATTGACTCTGCTTCTACCTCCTTACGTACGTCCCCTCATGAACCGTATACTCCGGCTGGACGTCCACAAATTACACTCAAATATTTGTTATTGACATTTCCCAGCTTTGTAGGGCTTACAACTATGACGAAAAGTACGTGGGAGCAACGTCGGAAGCACCCTGGGCTGCAGATCGCCTCGATCAGTTGAAGAAAGATGGGTTTACAATCAACCACGCCCGTGTCAAACTCGGGTCTGGTGCTCATGCTTTTGCCAGAGGGAAAGACAAACTTCAAAACTGGAGGTGAGTGCTGTGCTTTAAATTCACATTAGAGTCTGCTGAAGATCTCAAGTGAATACATGTAAGAGCCGTTTAGCACCTCTGCAGGTCCAAGAATGTGTCTAAGCCTTACATGCGTGCGTCAGGAGTTCTGATTCCTGACCAAGGTCAAGCTCCTTGTCATGCAGGCACTTGCAACTGGGATGGGCATCAGTAGACCCAACCACACCCATCAAAGTTGGAGGGAAATTTGGAATCGTTGTCCATGAAATGGTTGCTTGGCTCGTGAACCCCCTGCGCATAGCTTATGTGAGTGATGAGCAAGAGGTGACGTCAAAGAGCTTATCAGCAAATCAAGCAGTTGATATGCCATCTTTGAAATCCACCAGTTCCAAAGTATATTCCTTTGGTGGTGGTACTCTACAAGGTCACTTGCTGGTAAGCACAGTTCATGTACCATGTGTTCTGACTGATTACTTTTATGTGACCTTGGGGTGATAGATCCTGAGAATTATCTAGTTGAAGCTTTTGTGACTCCACGCTTTCTATCTCCTGAAAGCATTGTCTTTGTTCTTGACTTCACCGTAACTGCCAACCCTGTAAACTGTCCGATCATGACATGACTGCCATTCTCTTAACTGGAACAGGCCGGAGAAGAGAGGTTCTCCATCGAATGGGACAAGGAGGATGACTCTGTATGGTACGAGATTTTATCATTCTCGAAACCTGCTCATTTCCTCACAGTTGCCGGTTTCCCTGTGTTGAGGTTTCAACAGAAGCTTTTCGCTAAGCACTCAACAGACGCAATGATTCGAGAGGTTAACAATGATATGCCACTCAAAGGATAGACGTCTCTGAGGACCGTCGATTTATGGATGGCTTCTTTCAAGAGACCTGTCGAAAACAATTTGAAGTATTGCAGACTTCAAACAATGGGGCTTCAACAGTTGGACACTGCTCCAGTGGACCTGTTTTTAAACCCTTAGGTTGATTTCAAGAGCAGGCTCTTCTAAATACATCACCTCGGAATCTGCTGGGGAAGGCTCTGGGTTGATGGTTTCTCTTCGCAGTTTGGACACGAAGGTTGCAAAGACAACTGGAGGTCCTAGAGAAAGAGGCTATGGCCCTAATCAAGAGATGACGTGTGAGGAGAAGGACACTGCGAGAGCTTGCTGGAAGATGGGCGGAATTGCGAGTAATGAGGTCTCTCAAAGTTGTAGCCTCCAGATGAAACTTTGAGCATGAGCACGAACAGCCCTTCTAAAACTTTCATCGTCGAGTCAGATAGCAAGCATGTCAACGTTTGAGTTTTCTATCATTGAAACAACGAAAGCTTTTTGTTATTGCCCTAGCTCTATTTTTTAACGTGCTTTTCAAAGACGTTGATTAGATCAGAAACCCATTTTGGATGGAGAGAGGATGGATGGAACGATCCGATAACAACGCCTGCAGAACAATACGATATGCGGCGACCTGTACTGCACCTACCTGCAACCTCTAGGGATAGACATGAATATGTATCAATCTTGATGTCTTCACATACTCTCCATTGTCTGAACATCTGATTGCAACTATTCAGTTTGCATACACTCCTTTTTACTCCAGCTCATGAGAAGGGAAGAATAATCGGAATGTATGACTGGACGCGAACAGCATCTCTTGCCTTGTATTTTGCTAACTATTAAGAATCCTGTATACTCGCGATTCGGTGAGAAGCACACTCGACCCGGAACCAAATACTGCCCTGTGGCTGTCCACTTGGAAATGCTTGAACACTGAATAGGTGTTGCTGCATAAACAAAGGTTGCGATGCATAGTAGCTTACTGAAGATACAATTATGTTCAAGATGAACCTTCAGTTATATTATTTAAATTTGTACACATATAATCTGACCTTGAGTACCTGTTTTTCATGAACTTGAAATGTGCTGACTCGAACTTCCATGTCATTTATAGTTCAAAGGGGCATCTTGCATGATATTAAGAAGACAGATCTCTGAGGTGAAATGCGCAGAAGAGTAAGCTGTTGAACTTTGAGGGAAGGTGTAAGAAAGCGATGGATCCATCGTCAGAGATGTGATCTAACGGTGGAAAGGTCAGATCGAAAGCGAATGGATGTCCGAAATTCTTACTCAAAATTAGCTGACATTCCTAGACTCGTTCATGCATCTGGAAGGAAAAAGATCTTGAGCAATGTAACAAGCGCACGGAGCACTGGGATGAAGCACTAGAACGGCTGATTTTCCGAACACAAGTACCGTTCGCTGTACAACAATTTGCGTTATTATGAGTCGGTTCCTCAGGTTGCCAAGTTCGGAAGTATATTCCTGCTTACCCTCAACCTTCACAAGATAAGCACGTTAGTGAGAAATCTACAACTTTTCGACGTATTAAACCACATCTTACCCCGGAGGTCATGTAAGGTTGAACATCAATCTGATCAAATAGATATAATTCTACTAAATTAGTTTAGAAGACTATTCCTTTCGCTAGAATTATTCAGCAGATTTTACTTCTTTGCTAATTTTTTAAAACAAATTTGTAAAATTTGTACTAAATTTTCACATGTAAGGTCACATTAGAAGCATCAATGAAAGAGGAAAAGAAAAAAGTGAAACCAAAAGTGAATCTCTATGTAGAACAGTTTTCATCCAAACTTGCGACTATTCCATATTCATCCGGGTGTTTGCAATAGACCTAAAGAGTCCATATAGAAATCCACGCAGTCCGAAGGCGGAGTCGGAGCTGGAGCTGGTCCACGAACGGGGAAAACAGAAAGTATGGGTTATCCTGCATCTTTGGGGCCAATGCCAATGCCGAGTCACGCGGCCGAGAAAAATGACATTCGGGGCTCACGAGACGGCGCAAGATGGGAGCTCCAGGATAGATAGTGTCAGGTCAAAGGGGGACCGTGGCAGGCGGGATACTGATTAGACTGTCTGACTAGACTTCCGGCTCTCGCACTGGCGCGTCCGGGCCACGCGTCGACAGAAACTCATTGCAGGAGCATCGGCGGCGACGACGCTGGGCTCAGAGTCGTTTTGTCCAGGGCTCGCACCATCAGGTTTGTCTTGAAAACTCGTATTTATTTATTGACATGAAATCGGTTTTAAATTTAAAAATTATTATTAGTTGCGGGTTCAGCTGTTGGTTGTTGCAATTTTTTATTTAACGGCAAGCGAGATCAATTCTGAGTGTAAAATTATTGAAATTGTAACCGTTGACAATCTGCAACCAAAAAAAGGAAAATTACCAAAACCAGACTTTTAATTAACTCGAAATTTCGATAAAAATCAGGTTTTTTCCACCCTGTTTTGTGTTGACTAGGTAGTACCTAATCAATGAAAAAATAAAATTTTAATAGACTAATGGTACCTAATTGGTACTATTAGCCTAATCAAGTTGATTGAAATTTAATCAATCAAAACTAGGCTGAAATCAGGTTTTTTAATTAACCCGAACTTATTTTCGATAAAAATCGGGGTTTTCCCACTCCTGGTACTGTCTCGTCCGGTTCACTTCTGTTGCGTTCCGCGACGAGAGGAGGGCGGGCAAGAAAGAGATCGGTGACTCAGCAGTCTCTGGCTTGCAGCGTGGCAGTGGCTTTGTGCGACTGCCACGTGATCGAGCTTGTACATGGAAGACGAAGAACAAGCGGGCGAGCAGCTCGGGGGCGACCTTCGTTTAAAACGCAGGCGGGGCATTGACATTGACATTGACCGAAGCACGAAGCACGAAGCGAGAGAGAGAGAGAGTGACGAGGGAAGCAGATAGAGAATCGATCAATCAATCGGTGGGCGAGTCCGGGGGTGAGAGGGAGAGTTGAGAGAGGAGAGATGCAGAGCAACGAGATGGAAGGATTAGAATTGCCCTTGAAGGTGCAAACTCAGTGGGAGCGCGCGGCGGGACCTCTGTCGCCGATGGATCGCCTCAATGCGGCCTTCGAAACCATCCCCGTGTCCTTCTTCCCTCTTCTGGCCCTCGGCTCCGGTGCGTCTCGATTTTCCGCTCGATTCTGCCTCGCGTTTTCATTCGATCGTGCATTTTTGCATTTTTGCGTTTCGATGTCACGGGGGTTCGTCTCTGTGACCGGCGTTCACATCTGATCCTTCGGCTGGTCCCCCGTGGCCGACCCTACTTCTTGACAGTTGGTCTTTGGTTTCTTTGCAAACCTCACAAAGCATGTTCTGTTCTGTACTGGTTGTCTCAAAGCTTGCTTCTGTTCGTTGGCTTCTGACTTCGGTCCTGTCAGCTGAGGAACGACTGTCACTGACCCACATTCTGATTCTTATTGAGCCTGAAGTATGGACGGATTTGTTCTTAGCAGTGATCGAGGTGAAGTCGGATGCGAGCTTAGAGGAGGCACTTGAGATCCTGAGCAGCCACCACATTTACAGCGCGCCGGTGCCAGATGTCCAAGCAGCTGCGGAATCCAGCTGGATGGAGAAGTATTTGGGAATGGTAGACTTCGCAGGGATCATCCATTGGCTGCTGAATCAGGTGAATCTTGAACGGACTAAGGTGTGTGCCCCTCCCCTGCTCCCTGCTCCCTGCCCCCTATTTTCCCCGAGAGAGATGGTCATCCAAATGGACCACAGGATCAAGGAACCTGGCAAGAGTTAGAGCTGCGGAAAATAACTCCCAGACGTTTGTCAACATTGCAGTCGGAGTTGGCAACCCTGGAAGCTGGAGGTGTTGCATCTCTTGGGGGTGACAAATTCGTGGAAATGAAGGCCTCTGAAGCTTTCAAAACTGCCAAGGTTTGTAAAATGAAACTCTGATTTCGGGGTTTGAATGGATAAATATTTCAAGATTTTAAGTTCTACCAACTTATGCAACCAATTCACTCTTCTCCCTACCACATCAAACTTCTTTCCAATCTTCTGAAATAGAAATATCCTCTAGCCAATTATAGCCAAAAGTTCGTAAAATCAGCCCTCTGTCTCGGCGGTGCTAGTAGCGTTGTGAGTATGAGGAAGAGAAACGAAAATTAAGGAACGTAAGAATAGGAGTTTTCCCACACTGTAGTGCAAATATTTAAAACTCAATTCCGACCTGCCGGATTCGAACCAGCGACCTAGAGATGTCTGTCTGCACACTACAGTCTCCCGCTCTACCAACTGAGCTAAGGTCGGTTTCTGACAATAAGGATTTCAAAACGTTCCAGATTGTGTGGAAGAATGTACTAAATGCATTTGTTCGTCAGTTTGTTCGTCCTTGCGTTAGTGAAGGTGAATTGAAAAACTCCATTCGTCCGGGAATGGATATCAAAGGCTGTTGCCTCTCTTCTACAATTGTGGTTGTAAGCTCATCGTTGCACGGTCAGAAGCAGTTTGTATGTTAGTATCGTTTCTGCTCGTATAGTGGTAGTGGTGCCTCAACCATCGTGATAAAGTTGGCTGTTGGGTTATTAGTCATCGTCATCGACATGGTCCACTTGCTTCACTTTCACCGATCCTGTCAAGCAGAGGCTTACATGCATTTGACGATTTCCAGGTTTCCGATATAGCTGGATCCTTTCGTTGGGCCCCTTTCATCTCCGTGCAACAGACGGATTCATTGCTTACAGTGCTGCTGCTCCTTTCCAAGTATCGAATGAAGAGCCTGCCTGTGGTTGAGAGTGGAAAGGGCGCCATCTTCAACTTCATCACTCAGGGAGATGTTATCCATATGCTGTTGCAGTGCAGTGGCTTATCTTGGTTTGACAAACTGGGAAAGTCGACCCTCAGTAAGCTTGGTCTTCCCAAAGTTCGAGAAGGAAAATTGATTCAGGTGAGCGAATCAATTGTCAAGAAGTGCATGGAAGAAAAAGGCTTGTATCCAAAGTAATCTTGCCCAAGCTTTTAATATGATTTGTTTCAATGAGGTCTGCAATTGAGAAGCTCGTATGAGCAGTAAGAAAACACCGCCTGGAATGTGAATTCCTTCAGCGTATCCTCGTGACCCAGTGATTCCGATACTCGGTATTGAATGATGATTCAGGTGGATGAAAACGTTCATATAATTGCTGCCTTCGAGATGATGAGCAAGAACGGGGTGGGTGGGGTTCCTGTTCTCGCAAGCGGCACCAAGAAGGTGGTCGGCAACATCAGCGCCAGCGACGTGTCCTTTTTGCTCACTGATCCGGAGATTTTCCAGCACGAGAGGTACCTTCGACTGTCGTTATGAACGATTCTGAATATTCAGTTGGTTGGGTCTGTAAAAAGTGTCGATGTCCTTTGAAAAGTCTCTCAAATCATGTCCAGTTTGGGGACTAAATTTGAGTTGATGTTTTCATCGTTTCTACCTCAGCCCCCTTACGACAGGGAAGTTTCTGGCGGCGGTGAGGAAGCATTTGCAAGATAGGAAGGAGAGCTCTCCACTGCTCAGACCAATACTGACATGCCATCAGAACGAGACTCTCAAAGGTTCCATCATCAAACTTGACGAGGCGAAGGTCCATCGAATCTACGTTGTTGACGATAACCAAGACCTTATCGGAGTTATCACTTTGAGAGATATCATTTCAACATTCGTCGAGGAACCCGTAGGTTACTTCGGAACTTTCTTCGATGGGGTGGTCCCAGCATCTCCTCGATACCCGGTTCCGGAGGTCCTTACCTGCTAGCTTTCACATGGCCTTCATCGAAGAACATCGATTCATTCGATTCAAGACGCTTCCTCAATAATAGTCCTTGTTCATCTCATTCTTGTGGGAAGCTGTAGACCTTTTATAAACCGCCAAAGCTCGAATATGACCTGTACATAGGTGTTCAATTTTGTAGATTTTCAGGACTGATCTTCAGAGTAGGAGCTCGTCAGTCGGTTGCTACGCTTTCCAAGACCTTTCTAGCAAGTATCTGTCAGGCTTTTCTAGCTCATTCAAGCTTGGTCTTAGAAAATTTTGTCGAAGCTTCTTTGAGCTCGATCCACCCAGGAGGTGCGAGATGTAGCACTTGGGAACTCAGAATCAATCAGGCTTGTTCGAGACGAGACTAGCGTGCAGACCATCATAAACCTGACAACTACTTGAGCTTGATCTTCCGACGCCTCCTTACAAAGAGGACTTTCAAACCCTGTACATGTAACTTATGAACAAGGAGCAGGGCGATTGCACCTGCATGCTGCGTCCCTTGCATTTGGCAACTCCTTGTTGTGGCCATGTAAGCTTCAACCTCTGAAAAACACTCCGGGCTACCGGTGCATCACATTGGGCTCGTCTGTGGATCTAACATGACATTATGCCTTTGCGTCTCATAACACGTGTTATTTTCAGATTACAACCCTGCCAGAGGCCTCAACGTGGCTTCGTTTTCGAAACGCTACTATGATCCAGCTTCAGTCTGTTCCAGGGCTGGTCCAGTTTATCAGCTGCGTTGAGACGGGAGGAATCTACCTCGGGTAGTCCGCTGCTTTCCAGCTGGATCTGTCCCTTTTCTTGCAATCGCTCAGAATTGAGACGGCAACATCAATCAACCCTTTCGTATCTGAAGTGGTGAGTAAACCCGGGACACTTTTTGATCGATATTCGGTGAATGTGCATAACCCAGAGCTTCTTTTCCTGAGGACTGCTCGTAACGAGGATGCAACGTGGCGGTCGCTCGGAGCATACACTTTGGATGTGAATAAATCTTGGATTAGATTGAAGGTCTGCGTAAAGTGTGTATCTCCGACGACCGTCCCCATTGAACCTTGAACCGCAGATTATGAAGAGAGGGGCAGGGGACCGTCTTCCACATGCTCTCTCACAAATGTCATCGACTTCAAATTTCAGGTCAGAATGGCTTGGCTGTCAACTCCCGGCGAGCACATACGCCGGCAAGAGCTGAACTGAGACGGGAACGGGGTTCGCGAACCCCGTTACTTCGCTAGCCCCTCCATCTTTTTTCCGTCGACTGGTAGAGTCGATGGACATATAGCTTGAGATATTACACCTGCCAAGACAACATGCGAAGTTCGTGTATTGTCTCGGCAGTGTAATATCTCCAAGACCCATCGTCAGTATGAAAAGAAATTGCACAAATTTGAAACTTAAGATTGTCAAGCATTCTTCACGCACTGCAACTGAAGTGAACAAGGACGTTTGATTTGCTACAATTAATGTTTCGTAACATAAACTTCAAAGGCACTCTTTGAACAAGTGAAATCAACTGAACGAACATTCCACGTAAGCTACAATGTCGACGAGGTGGCAACCGATGTGACTTTCGGCAGCGTTTAAGATTCACCAACTTAAGGTTCTTCTCTGGACTTGGTCATCGACACGCAGAGTAAAGTCGAAAGGGCTCAAGAGTCAAGAGCCAGAACGAAATTCCGCAATCATTGGGGGATATACTTCCCCATCTTCTGTTTGGTTTAGAATGCAAACTATGCTTGATTTTATTGTAGAAGCAGAGGTTTCAAAACTGTGGTGACAATCATGACCAAAGCCATCGAGATGGGAAAATTGATGGTGCTGCCGCCCTCCCCCACCTTGCGCATGGGGCTCGTCGTCCTTCTAAAGAGGGACCAGCGATACCCTACTTTTGCAAGGGACAGAACTTTAGGGAAAGAGAAAAGTGGGCTCCAAACATCTGCTGCTGCTGCCACGACAATGTGGCCACTCGAAGACTCCGAATGTACGGTGGGAATCAAGACTGAATCTGGCTTGTGGAGCAAACCTTGCGCAGTTCTAGTCTGTACACCCAAAGCCGCAGCGCACGGTTCTAAAAACGTACTTTTTCCGACGCCGTTCTAATGAATGTCACATTGATGAGCAGACTCTTGACGAAGAGTTACAGTAAAGCAGCGGTCCAAAACCTTCATCACTGAGCACTCAGTGTCAGCTTCTCAGGAACAAGTGCAGCGTGAGAACTCCGTGGCTTTCAATAAATTTCAAAACAATTTCTATTTTCCCCCCCTCCCCCGTTTGTTACTAACTCCACCCGAGAGTTAGTCTTCCGAGATGCATGAGCTAAGTTCCTTCTCTGATCACCGTAAGCTTCCAGCAATCAGCTTAATCGCCAGTCCGAGATTGGATGTGCATCTGAATAGGGCAGCAAGGAGAAACCTTCCTGACTTAAACCCTTGTGCGAGAAATCAAACCTTTACAAAGAATTTTCGACAGTATCTGAATCCCGTCCGGGTCTTAAGCCTTCAGCTCAACATAAGTAGAGTGCATGCTCGCGGAACCTTTCTTCAATCTTGGCCTCAGCCCACGCAAAGCTTGCAAATTCAGTTGCACTTTGTCGCGAGGCTCGAATTCCTCTCTTAATCGAGTCAACACACGCAAAGCTTGCCGGGAACAAAATGGTCACCGATGCTTTAAATTGACAATCTCGGCACACAAGGAGATGCCATCGAACGAATTTGGATGTCGTGTCATTGAGGTCGTCGTTCCTGGTCTACTCGGCTCATGGCCAGGCCCGGTCTCTCTACCTCCATTCGAATCGACAAGGCCCAGCAACAACAATTCCCGAACCGTCGACTTCCGTCGCTCTCCAACAACATTCTCCGGATAGTTCTTCAGCTGGCAGTGGGTCAGGAGAACGTGCAGATCTGGACCCGAGTCCGTGCTGCTGACCGAGTCCGCTCGCCACTTGCAATTGTCGATGAAGTCAATCGAAGCACGAGAAGGACGCAGTTTTTGACTCCGAGTACGACGACGACGACGACGACGACGGGGATCAGGATTAAAAGCCCGGATTTGATATTCGAATGCGAACGTGATCAGGCACCAGCAGCTGCAGCGCGTCTACGAGGCGGCCCCGGATGTCAGATACTGTCGACGAGGTGCCGATGGCCTGGCCCGCGGCACGGCGTGACGGGTCTGAACAAGATGCTTCAGCTCATGTCGTAATTCGGTCGTCCGATCGCTGGCTGCTCGTCCGTGCTTCTGCTCGGCGAGGTGGCCTGAGAGTTTTTGTGCTTTGATGAGGCGGATTTGTTTTGGCTCTCGGCTGCGAAAAGAATGTCGTTCGTGACAGTCAGAGAAGGGGTGGGCGGGGGGAGGGAGGGAGAGGAGGAAGAGGAGGTAAATTTTTTCGAAATTCTCACTTTTCTGCTGTTCATCTCGAGGTTTGCTCTTCAATTATTATGAGGTGAGTGACGTGCGCGGGCGTGATTTCCTAGTGGGAGGAATTTTCCAAGATTTCTTGTGCTCGTACCGTGAGAATTATTGTAGCCTTGCATTTCAATTTGACTGTCATGTTGCGTGCTGTGTCGCCTGGCTGCCACCCCTCACCTCATGCATGCATCGGCCCCCACCCCGGATCCAAACTCGCGTGCATCAACACGGCCCAGATCCATATCCCAAACCACATTTAGGTAACGGCGAGATTCCATCTCAGCCGAGTGCTCCAAACAGGCAGCAAATGCTCGATTACGTCTGGGACCAGCGCAGCTCATGGGCCTCAGAAGCTTGAGCTCGCATCTGGAGTGATTACCGGTTTCATGTGCGCTAAAATAGTTTCATGAGTGAGAGAGATGCTTAGGAACAGTGCTTATGCCAGGACCACGACAATGATGATGCCGCTGCAACTCATCCTACCACCGACAGTGCACTGTCAGGAGAGAGATAAATATCAATGCAGATGACAGCCAGATGAGATCAATAGCTGCTCCGACAGTCGGAGTCAGCCTTTCAATCGTCGCTGCGATTTGCATTAGTGGCAAGATCGAAGGCTACCAAGGCGTTCAGACCAATGGTTTCCTCATTTTTCCTCGCCCTCCACATTGCCCGCACACGCCATGGGGCCCCTATAAGGAACCGAGCCAGACAAAGTGTTCCTCATTCCGTCGACCCCCGCGAGCGAGCGAGCGAGGCACACTGACTTTCCGGCATTGAGATCAGCAGCAGCAGCAGCCAGCCGATCGTGGACACGGTCCGAATTCTCTTTAGCGCCTGCGCATGGTCGTGAACCGGAAGGTGAGTCTCCAAGCATTTTAGACGAAGGAGCTTCGTGACCCGGCGGGCTGTCACGCTCAAGTGCTTATGGATTCTCCTTCCCATTCGCGATTTCTGGCAGATCTGACGTACACTCCAGGCTTCCTTCTGATCGAAGGCGAAAACAATTGTGGGGAACGAAAGGTAAGGTGGATGTACAAGCATCTTCTGGGATGAATCTCTTTGACCCGTTTCTTCAAGTTGCTTATACATTCTCCTTCCCATTCGTGGCTATCCGCACGGTCCGTCCCAGAGTGCTCCACAGCGTGCGACCTCGATCCTCGATCCTGATTGGTATCGATAGATTAGGATTGAATACGCAACATCGAGAGTCCTGCAGTCCATCGGTACTAACTGTGACAGCAGTCGGTCAGCTCTGGACAGCCGTAATTTAGTCCTACATATGTTCTCTTGACGAGCGACCATTCCCAGGAGTCAGGGCGATTTCTTGGCACCTGAAGGTTTGGTAGACCAGCTTAGAAGTAGTGACCGAGAATTCTGATCTGCATGTTTGACACACTGCTGGGCTGAGAAGCTCACGATCGTAGAGCAATGAGACTTGCCAAATGTGATAGGCTCTGACGTTTTGTGTAAGCGATCGAGTGTTGTGCTTCATGTAATCAGATTGTTTGAAGACGAGACGAGATATTGGGCAAACCTCAAGGAAATTGTCTTTCTGAGAATTGGAAAGAAATGCAGGGACGTTCCGGTCGAGAAGTTTCGCAGTACGTCCAGGAAAAACAATCCCCGATGGCAAAGTTCGGATGCAAAGTTCGCGACAACACTCCAAGTCAGCATATTGGTTGGTTAGTAGAGCACGAACTCTCATATAGGTCTACTTGTACGTTAACTAGATGATATAGAGAACCAGAGACCTTCACCAACAGTACCCTCTGTAAGATCCACATGCTTTCCATGATTCTAGTTTCAATGGAATGGCTGAACTTTGATCCTGGTGTTAAACTGGAAGAAAGTCTCATATTTCAACTCGGCCATGAGGGTGTCATTCATCAGATGTATTCCGTACACGAATCCCTACTACTTGCAGAATTGCGAGCTCGATGAGAGTTCGAAACTCAAACTTCAATTCCGATTCTATGAGATACCTGTCAACTTACTCGTCCTTCCAGTCGGCTGACTCGTTTCAAAGAGCGTCGAGGACTGTTACTCACGAAATGAAGTCCTTGCACTGCTGGGCTCCCCGTGTTGCGCTGCATGTTGGGTGCTGTAATCGCATAATACGAAGACAGTGCCAGAAATTATCTTCATTTCTTCACCACTAGATCGCCTTTGACTCGCTCAACGACACCTTTCCCCAAGAAATGAGCGCCTGGCTTTGAAATTCAATCTCTGATTAAAGCTAACGGTCACTACTCAGCAGGCAATGTTCCCTGCTTATATTTTATGGCACTGGCTCGATCGTTATATGGTAGGAACTTTGTACAAAGCATGTCATAAATATGAATCTTCTGCGTCGCAGTTTCGACGGTTCACTATTTTCAACCGGTGGTCTTTTGATTTTGTGAGGCACTGTGCTTGAATACAATTTTAAGAATTATCAATTGTTCCTCTCGAAGCTTTAGTAAATTTCTCATTATTATATAAGTCGTAAATCTAATCTCTCAATACCGCGAGGCGGTTGGAAGAGACAATCAACATGGCATCATTTCAGACCGCCCGTCTCTATGTTTTTCATCATCAAGATTAGGAACGCAATGTTCGATTATCAGACTCGCTGTCTTTTGTTTAACCGCAACAGGCTTTGGATTCACTGCAGAGGAATGAGAAGACAACAAGAAAACAATCGTAGCAGGCTGTGTCGTCCACAGCTAAAACTAGGAGCAAAATGGACGAAATTTGGAGGACTGGAAGAAGACAAAGTCGGTTTTGGATGGGACTTCGTGGTGTCTACGAAGGTGAAATCTGAGTCACTAAAGGTATCGAGAATTGACTTTTAGGTTTGCCTGTAAATCTAAGCCCCCACAATGGATATGCCACCACAGATAAGGTGCAAATCTAGTAAGAAGGCATTTCTCATTATATGGCATACTTAAAGCTAGAGCTCAACTCGTGAATCCCAAATGGATTTGAGAGCTTCAGCAGAACTAGTTGCCAATAACTTGGGGAGCCCCGTTCGTCGACCCTTGACAGAAAGCTCGGCAAACTTGTAGATTGCAGTCATCATGGTGCGACTGTTCGCACCATGAAGAGACATTCTCGGGAACGAGGCAACGACATATCGGAATTACGTGTAATGTTCCAGGAAAGGCAAAGCAAGCACGGATACAAATCTCGAACGGGAAGTCAGGAAATAGATATGTCTGAAGATTCAAGTGGTCTCGAGGCCACCATGGACAGTCCACGTAACGAGTCACTACATTCGCCAGGATTACGAGACAGTCGGTGCACGGTGGGCTAGGGGGATGCACGAGCAACTAAGACACGACGACATCGCGGCGTCTCTTAAGTGGCTCTAGCATGCTCCATAGCCCAACGTGATGAAATGAATCGGCAGCTACTCCTCCACCACCTGTCGAGCGAATGATCCGACCACAATACACGAGAAAAGAGAGAAGTCGAAGAAAGGGCTGCACAAGGCTCACCCACAGGTCTCGGGATGCAAGGGCGAGACCCGCCATTTCCAACAGCCCAGATTTCATCGAAACACGCATAGCATTACGACGAAGGGTACGAGACCAATGCAAGCTCACTTTCACGGAGACTGCTGCAAGAGAAAACTGAAGGACGTCAACAACCGGTAGCACAACTAATCTCCGGCCATCTTTGAGTCAAGCTTCGGTTCGGCACTCGATCTTCGCAAATGTCAAGCAGCTCTGCAGCTCACGCTCTTTAAATGGTGGACGGGGCCACAAGGGGTAGGAAAGAGCAGACCTCTGAGACAGTCGCGGCCCGAGGAAGTAGCAGCGACGCGGTGACGAGACGAGACGAGATTAGGTTTGGGGATTGCCGATCGTACGTGGACCAGTCAGATGGAACAGTGGACGTGCCCAGACCAACGAACGCAGTAGTTGTTCTGACCGCAGTACGATACCAACCGCCGCCCGCGTTGTACCGAACTACAGTAGTAGCCAGGCATAACGTCCCGTTCTACAGTAGGTCTCCCACCCTCCAGCTGTGCCTTGTTGTCTGGAAAAGTTCTCACACTGTCCCTGTACTGGACTCGGGACCAGAAATTCTACTCGGTTCAGTCCATAAGGCATGGGACAGCCCACCTTCCGTACCCGGAACCTGCCCACTGTGGGTAACATGGAGATGAAGTCCCCTGCCCAGGACAGAATTCCTTTTTTTGGGACTATTGTTCCCGTTCGGTTTCCTCTTTATAGTACTTTATGGGTGTCCCATCCTCGTACTGTGTCCCTGCCCAGAACCTACCCAGGTTAGGTTACATGGTCATACTTAACGCGAGTATGTGCCAAAAAGATCCCTCTTCCCCACGTGCAAAGCTGTACAACGTCAGTCTCACCGACTGAGGGCCCGATATTCGATCCATCGTGATGGTAGTGCGATCTACGGCTTCTCGGGTTGAATTATAAGCTTATACGAATAAGCTTATAATTCAACCCTCTGCTCCTCTCCATCCAAGGGTGCACTGACTTCAATGTATAAACTCTCTTTTTTTATGATTAATATTTTTTGTATATTTGGCGTAATAATATATGTCATACAATATCTACATCGAACATTGAATCTACTCTTGTAAGTGAAGATGTCACATGGATAATATAAATCTTGGTTATTACGTTTAAAATCAAATTGATAGAAACGTCAATTCAACACTAATGTTTATGATGATACGATGACGACGAGATATACATATAAAATCATCCATCATATCCCAACTAACAAAAAATCTATTAAAAATGCTATAATCTTGTGCATCTAATGAAATTGTGAACATATGTAGAGCATTTGTCATAATCGTTCAATGCTATCGAACAAAAAGATTATCTTACTTCATATCTTTATACTTTGATATGTTGGATGTACATAATTATTCTACTTAAAAAGGCCAAACATTTGCAGCTTGAGCTCATTTGTGAATCTTTTGGTTGAACTTTTGATCTATTTATATTTCCCTACAAAAATTTCAAACCAAATAAACTCTACTCGATTAAATTTGCATTAAAGTTGTTTCATCTATTTTTTAAATAAAAATTTCTCTTTTTTTCAAATCTCTCATTTTTTTATTCTCTTGTTATGATCCTGAATGAAATTGTTTTTTCTTCTTCACAATCCGACTTCACATGTCTCATTCTTTCATGCTATCGATTTTAGCCTACAAAAAGTTATATCATCTACAAAAATCTACTCTCTATCATCACTAATTTCATATATATATATATATATATATATATATTCTTTTCATCATGATCAATAATTCAATTTTTACTTCTAAATTCATCATCAATTATTTTTCGTTTTTCATCTTTATTATCGTCATAATCTATTTTGAACATTGATTTTCTTTGGCAATGTTATTTTTAATAGCAATTCAAAACACTATTTTGACTTTTCATTATAATATTCATTGTCTCTTATTTAGCACTTTACAATTATATCTGCGTCACTGTTTGATTCTTCATTGTCATTCATTGTCCATTTTCATTGTTTTTTTTTCACTACTATTAATTATTCATCATTCTTATATATCATTGCTAGTTCATTTTATTTAACCTTCTAGACTGAAAATCATGATCACTTTATGAACATTCTTTTATTTTTATTACATTTACATATTAAAACTTTGATATTTTTGTGCTTTGATTTTGATCTTTTGTATTGGTATTTTAATTTTGAAAATTTTGTTGGTCTTAAGGTGTGTTTCAGCATTTCTAAATCACTTTCTATTTTGATCATTTTTTTATATTTTAAAGCACTTTATATAAACAATTTGATATCTTTAAACTTCAATTGTCATTTTATGCATCAAAATTTCAGCTTCATCCCTCTTTTTTAACGTTTGCATATTTTTTACTTCATAAACACACTTTGAAATTTTCATTTTAATAATTATGTGCTTCAATGTTTGCATTTTGTACTAGCATGATGAGATTTTCACTTCTTGTCCACAATTTGAACTTAATGATTTCATCCTATTATACTTGATTTTAACACTTTCGTTTATTTGTACTTTCACGTTGGCATTTTATATCAAATATTTTGATTTCAAATCAAGCAATTTTATATTTTAAATTTAATTCTGTGATGTCTTTAAAGTATAATAACATTGCTAGTAATCATGTTAACATACAATATCATAATATCTTCCTATCATTGAAATAAAATTATTGATTCATATTTCTTTTCACGTGTAATTTATGTGATCATACTTATATAAAACGTTAAAATTTGTCAATCAAATATTAATCAGTATTCATCTTAATAAACTATAAATGTAAAGAATATTCTTCATATAGGAAGTAAAATCAAGTTCTTGTTGCATAATGTAATAATCTATAATACGGTAGTACTATTATAGATGTAACTCAAGATAGAAATAAAATTGCATTACAATGAATCATCTATTGTTGTAATGTAAAGAATGCAGGTATTTGTTATATAAAGTGTAATTGTTGACAGAGAAAACATCAGCAGTTTTTTTCTCTTATGGATAAGAATTGAATGTATTAATTAGTGTGGTACTTTAAAAAAATATGTTAACAACTAACTAGAATCGGAATATAATTGATGAATAAAGAGTATATCGTGAATACTTATAATGAGTAATATTTTAAAACTATTATATGATCACCTTTACTTTTTGTGAAATTTTGTTTAACAGTTTAGATGATCATCATACTTATCTTGTAGTAAGATGACTTATATATCTCAAATCCTCATTTATATCAAATCTATATCATTACAATCATCACCCAAATGATATTGATTACACAAGCTATTTTATCAATCAGTACTTTCTGCACATACACTATGTACATGTAAGTCCTCTTAAGCAATTTGACAGCAAGTATAAATAATTTTTTGTTTTATATATATTTTTCAATTATGTTGCTTATGTGAAAAATATAAACTCATATAAAATAACATTTCAATCCAAATAACACATGCATTACAGATTATTATATTTATGATACATTTTTTCATTTTTATACTATCATATTTACACATGAACATGCAACCAGTCAAACTCATTGAAAAAAAAATGCAATCATATTACAAATGTTGAAACACAGTTTTTTATTTTTTATCTTTTACATTAATCTAAACTCATGACTAAATATTCAAAACTTGTCTAATTGAGTCAAAGTTGTAGGTCCTAAGTTCGATTGTAATTTTTACATATAAATTATTTTTTAATAAATTTATACCAAATACATGTACTAGATATGTTCAAAATGAAACATTTTTTCCAAATTTTAATCTCCCAAATCCTTCCATTTATTTTTTATTTTTTTAATTTAAAAATATAAATTTAAAAATTTTATTTTTATTGAAAAAAAATTAAGACATTTCTGTAAATATAAAATTAAAAAATATATATATATCGTAATGTTCATACTTCTTCAAATCAACTGTTACAGATGAAATATTCAAAATAAGAAATGATGAAATGAGCTCATCGTTTGTATCATTAGATAAACTCCAGGATTATATTGCAATCATGCTGAAAATTGATTGAAGTGAAGATACGGCAATGACTGCAATTAATATTTGGTAAAATACAGATAAGATGAACATCTTTATCATTACATTGTAATGAATAATCAATAAGGTGTGGAAAAATATCATCAATTAAGTCAAAAGTCAAATCCAATTTTATCAAGTTCTCTTTACGCATGGAAGATAATGCTTCATTTTCAGCGATTTCTACCAAATTTTATTGGTCAAGTTGTCACTTCAGTTAGCCTTCAGAATGAGACATTGATGTCGTAAAATGCCTCTGTGTAAAAATAGTTTACTCATTGTATTTATTCACATTTCACCAATTAATCTGTGTAATCAAATTTTCATAGTTTTTGTCAATACTATCCAAAATTTGCAGCAGTCGCATTAAAAGATAGAGTATCACAACAAATATATTTTATTTTATCTAAAAAATTATTTAATCATATAAGTTATTGTGTCATATTGCTAAAATTACAATTCAATTAAAAAAAATTGTCCTTTTTTATTGTAAGCTTTTAAGAACATATCCAATATGTGATATTGTGAGATAATTTATTTTGAAATTTAGATAAACATGGAAATAAAAATATAAAATTTAACAAGATTTATACAGATGCATTCAAAAATTGAGTATTTCAAATTAATAATTAGATGTTTAAACAATCATTGTGATTGATTAAATAAAATCAACAAACATGGATGAACAGAAGAAGCAGTAAATTATAACGTCCGGGTCCTGTCTGTCAAAAAAAGTCCGGCTTCAGGGCCCGTCGATCCCAGGGGCCATTTATAATTTTTACCGAGCTTAAGTATAAGTACTCTTTGGGCAGGTTCAATTTGGGTGTGCCACTTGCTTAAATGTTAAGCAAGATCTACAAACCAATTCCAGTAATATCGATTCATAACTTTGGTAAGTGATTGATAACTTCTGCTAATTTTGTCACTTAATTTTCAAAAGATTCAAATCTGAATATATACTGGAAATAAAAAATATAAAAATATTTATTTCCAATTTGGAATTTCCGAAATAATTTAAAAGGTTATTAATAAAATATCTAAAAAAAACTTCTCACTAAAATTACAGTTCAACTTCCTTGTTGATATTTTAAATGCGAAAAATATTGTTTATGATAATTTTTACCTTTTAACATAACCTTAAAAACTGTTAGAATCTTTTATTTACGATTTTCCATCATCACGAGAGGATGACCTTTTTTTGATTCATTGATATTTTGGTGATGTGCAACTGCACATCACCAAAACTGGAGGGATATTAGTTTTATATAAACTCAAAGTAGTGAGAATATTTTCGCTGTGATTTTTTTGAACAAAAAATAAATTTTTACATGTTGATCTCCAGTACTTCTTAATTTTTAATAGATAATGTTCTGATGAGTTTTTTTCATTCTACCTCTTTAGCTGCCTCTACAAGGAGAAAAAAAAAAAAACACAAACCTAAGCATTTTCCAGTTATTTATTAATTTAAATATAATCTTGCAATAACTTACGATTTTAAAATATATGAAAAAATTAAATTGCTCCATATTAAAATATGGTATATATATATCATAAATTTAAATCGAAATTTTAATTCTACAATTAGATTTTAATAGATATATAGCATCAACATCATGAAGCATTAGTTTTATATTATAATTTGATAGGATATTCAACATCCAAAACTATACTTTTCTATAATGCCAGCGATTTTGGTCTGTTTTCAACGTATATTTCCATTTCAGGAATAATTCATTATTCTAAAATTCTTATGTATAAATTTAGGATTTTTGTAAGAATAGATACTCTTTGTTTTCCTCTTTCATTTCTGCAAATAAGATTCTGGATCTCTATTCTACACGAAGGTTGTCAACTATACCAGCAGAGCAGTAAAATCCGAGAACATTGACCCGAATGTGAAGCGAAAATCAATATATCAAATTCTACACAAAATTTTACTTCGATTGCACGCAAAGCAGGCCGTACGGTCTCCGAAGAATAATAATGTATAATAGGGATGGAAAGCGAGGTTACACATGTCTCTAAACTCTTGCAATAATTTCATGAGCTGAGGTTCGACTAGTCTTTTATGAGCTAGAATGAGGAAATTACTTGATGGGACGGGGAAACTCAAAACACTTGATGGACCCAACATGTTTCATTTTCCTCTATGGACCATCGGCCTGCAGCCCCACCGTAAGTGATGTTCCAATACTATCTGGGGTTATTTCGAGTAGAACATCAAGTTACGATAATACCATATCCGGAATAATTCAGACTCATGGTGCCCGTAGTTTTCTTAGACATGGCTGTGAACTAGTCGCCAAAATACTCTGCCCCGACAGTGGTGGACACGCACTCTATAGAGCAAATCAGTAGGTTATAAGAACATGGGTTACGGTGGCCGTCGAATGGGTCCCATCGGGTAAAATGAAACCTGATGGGTCCTTCAAGACGATTGAGTTTCCAAGGGTCACATCAAGTAATTTCCTCGAGCTAGAATCTGTGCGTTTGGTGTGACTTGTTGAGTTTGTGATGGTTCCGAAATATAACAGAGGACGTCGAGCAGAATAAAGCCTAAAACAAGTGACAAATCCGGGATCCGTTCATAGTCTTCTAAAGGGAGGACTAGGAAACAGAGACGCCTGCTGACAGAGAGGGCAGAAATTATCGCCGCGAGCGCGGAGCGGTGGAGGTCGTGGTCGCAGTTGGCAGTTGGCAGTTGGAAGATTGGCGTGGTGAAGATGGTGAACATTCGGAAGGCGAAGGAGGAGGAGGTCTGCGTAAGCGAGGACTGCAAGAAGCTCACGGTGCCCAAGGTGACGCAGTGCAAGAAGCTCACGGTGCCCAAGGTGACGCAGTACAAGAAGGGCAAGGGGAGCCTGTGCGTGCAGTGCAAGAAGCCCAAGCCCGTCATAAACAAGAAGGCGAAGACCACGAAGAAAATGCTCCTGCAACTCCAGTGCCAAAAATGCACTTTCTTTTTCACCTAGTTCTGGCCAGATGGTGCTCCCGTGTCGTGTCGTTCGCGTTTCTGTTCATTGCAGATTCCCCGATCTGACTGGCCCGAGGACTTACAAAATGAATCGGTTCAATCACAACCTTGACACTGGGCAAGTTGGGCAAGTTATGCAAGTCATGCAGTGAACACAGTGCCATGCTGTCGAATGTATTCGGCTTGCTGAAGGAATACAATGATTACATTATGACTCCTGTCCTCTGCTTTGCAGTGTGCGCACTCAGAATATCACTGCATATCGTGATTATTTTCACAGTCCATTGCGCCTTCTGAACTTCTTATAGCGCTGTAGCTCGACTTGTTCTCAACTTGAGTCCTTGGGTGGACCAGCAGTTCTAGTCCACATTCCTGATCCAGTTCCACTACATCCGAGCTGCACAGGACGTCAGCGCTCCTCCTCGTCCTCCATAGTCTTCTTTCTCAAGCCTCGGTCCTCACGCACCGGACGGACAGTATCATGTCGCTTGTCGAAACAGGAAAGGCTTGCTCCCCTTTTGGACTCAGTATCGCTGTGATTCCAGCATGCGATTCCAGAGTCGATCCATGCGGATCGTCCGTGGTGGTTGAGGATGGTGATGGATGCATCCTATGTATCCTTCTGTGCCTTCCTTCTCAACCGCATACGCTGACCGATGATGGTTAACCATCCGAACTTTGGATCTTTGCTGTTTCTTTTGCGTTGATGATCGATCTACTCGAAGGGAAGAAGCCTCAAAATGTGGAAGCTGACTTACTCTGTTAGGCTCTGAGGTGGTGTATGTTACAAAAATCTATCGTGATAGTAGCAGACAACAAAATTCACTACATATCCAGAAGGCGTGTCTGTCTCGGACCCTACCTGATCCGATTCATCGTCACCACTGTATGCAGCTGCCAGCTCACAGAACTCGCATGTTGCACAGACGTATGAAGCCTTGCCTTTGCCTTGCCTTGCCTTGTCATCTACTACACGTCGAGGGCAATGAGGTGAGTCGATGGAGGACCCCGACGATCCAATCGTTCGTGAAAAACTGGAAACCCAAATGGGCAGCTGACCGACCTTCAGTCAGTGAGCGTGTAACGTACGAAAACAATCTCAACTACCCATTAGTCTTTCAATTGTTCGAAATTCAAACCAGGCTACACGACCTGAAATCGATAGCAAACTCGATAGAAAGGGAATTGGGGTGTTGTCTTTTTACTTAATTTCATGAAGTAGGCTACGATTTTATTTTTTTTCATGATTTTGACTGTCCTGTGGAAGTATGGGAATCAATCTGTTCGGTTCTCAAAAAGGTTCGGTTCGGTTCGGTTCGATTCTCAAAACGTTTATGGGAAGTGAACTGAACCCCAGCCGTGAGCTTCGTACCCGACTTCTTAATCAAGGCATTTGTGAAGATCTTGCAGCCATTAAAACAAACGACATCAGTCGTAGACATTGCCTCCAGTCGAAGACCATCTGGTCTGCAGCGAGAAGCTTCGAATTAAAGCCCAACCTTTGCAACTCAAATCCTCCCCGGCAAGTCGATGGTTCCGACATCTCTTCAACTTCATCATAGAGCTCGCGACAAGTCGCTCGCGTCCACATCCCTGACGATGAAGATAAGAGAGCCGATCTGAAGACCGAATTGGAAGTATTACAAGTTACCCTTTGCAGCCTCCGACCTTCATCGAGGTCGGAGGGTGCAATCTTATCTGACCCTAGGCACTGCAAGCGGTGTACCATACTTCGCAGAAATTTCTTACTCCTGATGGTGTCCTGGAGAGTTTACAGCAGGATCTCCAATTTTCAGCTGAGAAGATCTGACCATGTCACCGAGACGTCCTTAGTACTCGTCCAACCTTCGGGTCTGCGGCTCTGCAGATGAAGCGGCAAGATTCTCACCCCCGGGAAAGAAGGAACAGAGCAAAGAGAATCAGATGGGCTCAGAGCTTTGCTCGTCGATGAATCTTGAAGATGTTCGTAAGTGAACACATTGACTTCGAGTCTGCTAGTTGCTGCTGGGTCAAAATCTGATCCGAGAGTCTCTGTGTCGTCTTGGAATCAGTGAAGTCTCCTCGGCGCATGCCTTACCTAGACTCAACGCCAAAGCTAGAAGTCTTAAAAATCGAGTTCTGAAAAATTGGATCTCCACCCCTTTGAAGCTACGCTTTACTTCGCGTGCATACATAAGATTGTTCCAAATCCCTCCGTCAGTATAGACTTCTAAAGACTGTTCGGACACAGGAGCCAGTCTTCGAATGAACTGACTTAGCGACTCGCCGTAATAAGAGATAAAAAATTGAGATTGAGCAAGTGGAAAAAGTACTATTATTTTTCCGGATAACCGGTGAGAAATGCCATTACCCAGCCTAAGCATTGGTGGGCGGGAATCAGAAAAGGTTCTGCGGTAAGCCGCCTTGTTCTACTATACAAAAAGTGCCAACACATAACATGACTGATTTGAATGAACTAACTCCAGCGGAGCGTGTCAATCGGAGTCGTAAATACAAATCAGTCAGTTCATTCGAAGAATCGCTCTAGTGTCCGAACAAAAGTCTCGTGCTAGTTGATTAAGAGGCTGGGGATGACTAACCTCAAGCATACATCTCGTCCGCACATGATGTCAAACTCTCACTCCTTGCAAAGTCCGAAGCTGAGAAAGTTACCGTCAAAGCTTAATCCGCTGCATGATACTATGGGACTTGGCCTCGTTCAGATCAAGCATTTCATGTCCAGGCAACTTCTAAACAACACCACACAGGATTGTAGGTAGCACATTTGCACCAATTGCACCTCAAGTTCCTGATTTTTCCCGAGGCTTTTTCGGTCGATCGGACGGAAGATGAATTTAGAGATTAAGCTATTCGGGAGGAGGAGCATGATTGAGTCCTACGATCGTGGAGGATGTTGTCGAGAACTCCATCAGCAGCCCTCGTCTTGTGCATTTCGTAGGAGAGCATTGAAACAATCTGTTGGGACGCTCAAAGGATAGACGGAAACTCGCGCTCTAATCTCATCCGTCACTTTACAAACACGAACGCCATCCCTGTACAGGGTACATCGATCTATCTGGATCGAAGTTGGCCTCTTCATAGACTTGTTCAGAGTACGACTCAACAGACTGTTAGCTGATGCTCAGATGATAGATGCACTCCAGACTGACCAAAAACGACGAATGAGTTGTTAAGATATGAAATACTCGAGTAAGTCCACAACAGATGCAGTTTCGTCGACATTCAGAATCCTTTCTTTTTCTTGCACTTTTATCCCTGCAGCGAAACGACCCGATCAGCTACCGAGTTCGAAATTGTGGGAGACATTGCATCGACAAGTCTTCACGAGCACATGGAACTACAGAAGGCTCTTCTAGCCACTTTGTTGTTGGCAGCTTGGAGACTGTCCAGGTGTCACTTTGAGTGACTGGGCTCCACCTTGCTGACATGGCCTCAACCCGGCACCTGTGTGGGCGGAAGACTCAGCATCTGATTGGCAGCATTTAAGGTGAGGTTATCAACAGTAGACACTAGAATTAGCAAACGAGGAACTGGGATGCACCCCACACTCACTATATATTTTATTTTGCATTCGGCCTAAAGCATCCCATTGTGTTAGTTTTACTTGGAAACAGAGCGAGGATACCTTATACACTCGAATTAGCAAACGAGTAAGTGGGATGCGCCCTACACTCACTATAAATTTTATTTTGCATTCGGCTTAAAGCATCTGTTCTCATTGTATCAATCTTACTTGGCATCAGAGCGAGGATACCTGAGTGGATGTTAGTCCGTGCCCAGCTAGGTTTCACACTGTTTGCTCACACCCACACATCAAGTCACTCACTTGACAACTGTAACAGATCACCAATAGCACTTGTTAGCAATGGCATCTAGAGATGCACTCATTGGAAAAGCCAGCAAGTTAGAGGCTATTACAAACTACGCCGTTTGGAGAGCCGTAGGAATCCAAGTGATGAGTGAGAAGATAGATGCCATTCAGAAATGGATAGCACCTGAGGATCAAACTCAATTGAATAGTTTTCTAGGGCTCACTGGATTCTATCGTAGATTTGTGAAAGATTTTGCTCGACTAGCTCACGCCTTGACTCCCATGTTAGGGAAAGGTCAAAAGTGGAGATGGGGAAAAGCTCAAGAGTTAGCTTTTCAAGCATTGAAAGATGCTTTGTTACACGCACCTATTCTCAAGTGGTATGATCCTAACCGTTCTATCAAGTTGGCCACTGACGCATGAGGTACAACAGTAGGTGGCATACTTCAACAAGAATGGGAGGATGGATGGCATCCAGTTGCTTTCTATTCTCGAAAGTTGGTGGCGGCGGAACAAAATTATCACACGAAAGAACGGGAGGAGTTAGCCATCGTGTTGGCAACCAAACATTGGAAGCATTACTTGGGTGATAAGGAGTTTGTGGTGAAGACTGATCATAAACCCTTGGTTTATTTGAAAACTCAGAAGGATCTGTCCAAACGACAAATTCGATGGGCAGAGTGGCGTCAACGCTTCAACATGAAGATTGTGTACGTGGAGGGAAAGAAGCAACTTGCAGATGCTCTCACACGCATGCCTTGTTTGAATCATGTTACAAAAGTGAAAATTCAGGCGGATTGGTGGAGCAAGATGTCACAAGCCACAAAGGAGGATGAAGAGATCACTCGGGCACTACAAACTGGAAAGGTAGAGAAATCTCGAGGTTTGGCGTTTTACAATCAACGTATATGGATTCCACAAGATCACGATTTGCGCACAATGATTTTGGCAGAAAGTCATGATACAGCCATTGCAGGTCATGTGGGAGTGGAGAAAACCGTGGAGAGTATACAACGAGTGTACTATTGGCCCAAAATACGTGAGGATGTGGAGTCTTATGTTCGAAGTTGTGTTGCTTGTCAACAAAACAAGACAAGTAATAAAAAACCAGCGGGTTTATTACAGCCTCTTCCTATTTCCGAGCAGCGGTGGGAACATGTCACCATGGATCTTGTATGTGAGTTACCAAGGACTTCGTTAGGACGTGGTTTTTGTGGACAAATTGAGCAAGATGATTCACATCAGGCCAACCACAAAAACAGTAACAGCTCCACAACTAGCTCAATTGTATCTAGATGCAATTTTTGTGAATCATGGCTTAAGCAAAGTGTTAATCACGGATAGAGGTACTCACTTCACTAGTTAATTTTGGAAAACTTTGTTTAGTTTTTTCAAAACAAAACTAGCAA